GTATGAAGTTCTGCATTGTGTGCATTTCAGGAAGTTTGGATTTTAATGACACCCCCAAACCCCTCCTGCCCTTTAACTTTAACTTAAAAAGCAAAATATTGCAGACTACCAGGAAGGTGCTGGGAGCAATTTAAAATTACACAAACAAGTTTGATGCTTTTCTTGAGAAGACAAAAACCATGTGGGTGCTGTACCAGCTTCCCTGTATAATTCTGCCAGCCTGCCCCTTAATCCTCCTTTGCAGCAACCCTATTATTACACACCCCTTTAGGTAGGAACTGACAATTGTGCCTGGTTAAGGGATCATCTTGTTGCTCTAATTTTTCTCTTTAAGGTCTGTTTGCAAGTTTAAGTAAGTAGCAATGGAGGATTCAGTCTTCTGATTTCTTTTTCATGCTAATGAATATTTACCACACATACTCAATTAGAAGTTGAGGTTACCCCCCATACCCCCACATCTAACATGGGGGAGCAGGGAAGCCTCCTTGCCTTACAGCTGAGTACAAGGCAGTGGAGAGGGGTGCTCAGGCAGCGGCTCTGGCTCCCGCTCTGGTTCTGGCCCCAACCTGCTGCTGCTACGGGGCCAGGCTGGAACAGCAGTGCCAGTTCTGCGCCACTGCTACAGGGCGCCATGCTCTGTGCCCTGGGCTTCAACAGGAACAGAGTTTGCTGGTGTGGAGCAAAAGTTAGCGGGGGGGTGGGAATGACAGGGACCTGAAGCTGCAGGTGGTAGGAGCAGCATGGAGAGGGGCTGAAGGGGGAATTGGGGCAACCTGAGTCTGTGGGGTATGGGGGAGTAGGCACAATGGGGGTAAGTGGTGGGGGACAGGCAGCAGGGGCAAGCTGCCTGTCTCTCTCACTGCTTGCCCTACTACCTCCACACTGCCTACTCCTACCACCTACCCCCCACCTGTCCTACTACATTTCCCCCCCCACTGGCTCCCCCACTGCCTGCCCCATTATTGTCCCCCTTTATCACCTCTTCCCCCCACCATATGCAATAGTGGTGGGGTGGAGATGAATTTAAGATGATCCTCCAATAATTAGATTCCATTCATGGAAAATTATGATACATTTATAACTGATATCAAATTATTGGGTGGGGGAGCTTTACATTCAGGGTCGTCTTGTATTTGAGTATATATGTTAATTCAAGACATACTTGAGTAAGATCAGCATGCTTTTTGAGGCTTAACAAAGTCTGCAGAATCACTTGAACAAAGTTCAGTTGCTTATTCCCAGTTTGCCTGGTGCTTTAAAAATATTCCACCAGAAAAACAAATTCTGACACATTGTGATATTTCATTGCACAAAAACAGTAAACTGGGATTGACTTTTATGTGTTCAGCAACTGGTATGTGAGCTTATTTCCATGACTGGACCATAGGTCAATGTGAACATTAATCAAAAGTCAGCGTAAACATTGATCTCTGTTCCTTTCAGTGGCTTGTTCGCGCTGCATGTTTCTGTTTTTGGAAGAGTTTTGAGACTAACTTGTGAATGGCTAACAGAACTTTAGTTTCCCAGTCCCACTATCACTCTGTCCAAACCTCTGCCTTCGCATTTTCCAATCAAAACCTCTGTTTATAATATGCGGTATCATTTGTGGAATAAGATGTTAGTATTGAAATTCATTTTTAAAAGTTCAGTGTCATAGCATATAATGTTAGTTTTTTGTTTTGTTGGGTTTTTTAACCTCAGTGGGACAAATGGTGATGAATCTGTGACAAAGATTTGGGAGTTGGGGTGGAACAGATTATCTGCATCTTGAGGCACATAACACTTTTTAGAAACAACAGCAAAGATGCTTTTTAAACATGTTTGTTAATTAATATTTCTGGTTCAAATTTTCCAACACACAATTTGCTATTGGTATTGGTTGTACAAAGCCTTGAGTGTGTTGAAAGCACCAAACTGAACTTGAAATCAGAACTGTTTAAATCTAAAGGAAAATATTTAATTTGTGCCATTTACAAAACTCTGCATGTTGTAACATGTCTGTCTTCTACTCTGCACATTAGTGACTTCTGTTATGAAACTGGAGGTTAACTGCACATTTTTAATCACCTTGGTTTGTTTTTTCTGTAAGCTTTGGCAACACATTAGCACACTTGTAAGTGTTAGACTCTTGCATCCTTATATACAGAACCATTTGAAATAACCTTCTGGTCTAGCAGCATTGGCCATCTTAGCGGTTAAAAGACCTGGGTCTCTGGCATGGAAGAGTTCTTAAAGGGATGCTGTCAAGTGCATCCTTCCCAAGGGCACCTCTTAAGCTCTGCTGATATGGGTAGAAATAAAGGCAGTAAGCTGTGTTTTCAGGTAGGAAAACTGCTTTGAATTGTCTAACCTTTCAGAACATTGTGCTGAACAAAGCCTAGCTGATTCAGTGCTGGCTTCTTAGGAAGAGTCTCTTTCCTTCTCTTTCCCTCTTCCCGTCTTTTCCCATCCCCACTCCTGCTTCAGTTTTCTCAGAGTGGAGGAAATTAGAAGGTGACAAAGAAATATCTCCCTGTAGCAGAAAAGGAAATGAGCCTGGCTGCTGCTCAGTTACCACTTCAGCTGATAGTGATTGGTACTGTCAGACCCCATTGGAAAATCTCATCCACCTTTTTTGACTACTCTCAGTTTTGGTAGGACCCTGAGGACCAACAGGAAGAACTCAGAATATTGTCCCTTACAAGTAAATCTTGCTCATACTTGCCTCTGCTGTATATTTTCAGGTGCACTCACAGTTGGCCTTGTGCGACAGTGTCAAACCATCCATGGACGTGACAGGACCTGTATTCCTCCACGGTTGCCTCCAGAGTGGGTCACTACATTATTTTTCATCATTATGGGAATCATTTCACTGACTGTCACATGTGGTTTGCTGGTGGCTTCCCACTGGCGAAGAGAAGCTACTAAATATGCCCGCTGGATAGCATTCACTGGAAGTAAGTGACTTCAGCTATGCAGTAAGTCTGCATGTAGGACAAACCGGGAGAGGCTTTTTAAGAACAAATCTGGGTGGGTACTGTTACCAGAGACCAGTGGTTAAACGCTGCTGTTTGACAGCACTTTTTTCCCCCTCTGCTCTGTAGAAAGAAACTTCTTTTTGAAATCAAAGGTTTGGGATATAAAAGTGCTGGAACAACCAGGAGAGATTAAGACGGGAGCCTTTGGGATCCTGGTTTTGTGGTCACAAAGCTTGTCACTTGCTAAGGCTGAGACAGGAAAAAGAAGTGCAATTTAGGACTAGCAACTCTTAGCTCCTTGGGAAGTGTCAGAGTGCGACAATTGAGCCAGGTTGGGGTAGGCTACTTGAGTCATATGACTCAAGTTTTAGCCAGAGTCTGGTGGTCCGGGCTTGTTGCCTTCCCCCTCCTTTCCCCCCACCCCCGCTCCCTCCACAAGAGAAAGAAGAAGTTGATGGCTCTGGCCCCTTCTGCACCCTCCTGGGTTTTATCCTCTCATGAACACACTGTGCAGGGTTGATGCCACCTTAGACTTGATTCGTTCGTGTGCAATGTGTTTGTTCATTTTAGTGAGAAATGACACCTGCATTCTAACTGATCTGGGGCTGCAGGACACCTCTGTCTGATAGCACCATGAATTATTTCCATCCCCATCCTTTCCTGGTGATGGTTCCTCAGCTGGAGGCTGATCAGGGTAGCATGCTATTTTCCTGTCTTTTCCTACTGTTGAGCTGTTTCTGAGCAGGTTGTCTCTTCTCCTGATAGCCCATGCTTGGCCTCCCTTAACAGGAATGTAGCCTCGTATTTCTGTGCAGAGAAGCCCATTCTGTTAGCTGTCTTAGCAGAAGAGAAAACCACTTGTGGCAAGGCAGAGGAAGACATTACAAAAATAGTCAGACTTCCCTTTCAGGGAGAGGGGGAGGCTGTTACAGGCATCCCCTTGCTGCAAAATGGTTTTAGTGTTTTGATGGTCATTATGGAGGCCTGCAAAAGACTTTAGATTCTAGGGGGGAAAATAAAAAATTGAGGGCTTATAAATTGGCTTGAATTCTGAAAAACAATAAGAAAATTAACTAGAAAATAAAAGTTTCTGCTCCTAACTGAAACAAACTAGCTTTGGTTTGGCAAGGACTTGTGACATTTTTATGTTAAGGGACTTAAACTGCTCATTGTAGAACGCAACCTCAGCTGGAACCATCCCACTAAGGCACCTCTGTAATTAAAGCCATTGCCTCCAATTTCTCTGCTGAATAATGTAGCTCTTGCGGACAATGTGGGGTTAATTTATTAAGTTAAATCCTTTGTGACTGTTTTCTACAGTGAGCTACCTTTAAATAGCAAAAATCTGGTGTTTAAAACAGCACACTACAAAAGTGTTTGAGATGAGTTGGATTTAAAATACTAAGGTAAAGGGGTTATTTTCATGAAACTGAATGTTAATAATAGAAAATATCAGAGTGTATCTACAGTGTTTCTGTGCATTGGATTTTTGGTTTCAGAGACATGATTTTTAAAGGTATCTTCATCCTCAAAAACACTTTTGCTTTAGTTTCTTAAGACTTTGCTGAATACGTGAGCTAAAAAGTCTGACGTCTTGAAATCTCCTTTTTTCTTTGCAGCCTTTAGACTGAGATAAGTCTAATGTGTCCATATTCATTAATAGAATAAATACAGAGGTGCAAAGGTGTATCTTCCCCATTTGTTCTGACAGTCTGCTCTGAGCAGTTTTTATTAAAAGAGTCTCTATTAGATTTGTTTTATCTTAAACCAAAATAATTCACAATCCTAGTAAGATATTCCTGCTGTATTATTGAAATCTAAAATTCAGCTTCTTGTATCTTAAAACCCCTTTTTTCTGTGACTTTTTTTCTAACATAAGCTTTGACTGCTTACTCAGCCCTAAGAAAAATTTTTACAATCATGTTAATGGGATAAAAAAAAAATCTTTTACTTCTAGATCCATAATGAATGGAAGCCATGGCTGTCTGACTACTTTTTCATGTGAAATGAGTCTGTATGAATGACTTCTGTGGTTCACCCTAATGGGAACCCTAATTAGCAGTCTATGAAGAGAAGTATATGGCTGAGCCCAGAGAATTAAATTTTGCTTTGAGAGGGGGTTACTTTGTTTCAGAAACTTGTGCTGTTTAGACAGAAGGAGGGGAATCTTTGTGGCTGTTGTATCTGCTTGCAGGTAATTTTGAAGACTACAGAGTCTTCAACTGCTTGCCCACTTTTTTTCTTGCTTCACATCATTAGAACATAACGCAAGGCCATTCTTATATGGACCTTCCCACAGGGGTGGCAGTATTTTGACTGCAAGCTTCCTGCTTTCAAAGAACAGGTTGTTGATTCATCAAAAAATCACTGAAGGAGAAGCTGTGAGGATGAACTTAATTGGGTGAGATAGTGACATATAGATATTAAAGTGAGTGCCCTAAATATAAAGGTCTTGGAAAGCTAGGTGAATTTGGAGGAAAGAATGACTAAGTAAAATCTTGGGCATTAGAACCTGACCTATTCCAGTGACCTTGATTGGAATGTTCCAAACTTACAAAGAGATTAATTAGACCTTGGCGGTTTGGACCCACATTTACCATATAAGCTTACATAATAGATGGGACTAGTAGCATGATGCATTAAGGTTGCTCAGCACTTTCTATTCTAAGATGAATTTTTGCTTCCTTATAGTTATGGCAAATATAAACCATTAGGCTGAAATTTATCATGCCATGAGTCTGCCTCAGGCTGAAAATGTAGCTTTCTCCCCACATTAACAATAATAAAAGTAATTCTTCCTTTGGAAAAACTCTTAGCATTTTTGGCAGGGCTTGCTTTTAATATAAGGGATAGACATTTTTGTTGTCCCCATGGAAAATCTGCCCCAGCTTGGTCAGATGTAAGCCTCTGAAGGACCATTGGTCAGGACTGACCTTTTTAGAGATCAGCAACTAAATTTCCGCAGGCTTCTCTGGAAACTGGGTGTGCTCCAGCACAGGATTGAGCAGGACTTCCCAGAGGTGCAACTGCTAGGATTGGGCAATTGAGCTAAGAGCAGGAAGCCTGTCTTCCTTGTGCTCTCAGAGGTTGCACTACCACCACTTGAGCCCAGGTAGCATTGAGGAGGAAGAAGCTGCATGATTTGAGTACAAATAGAATGAGAGCAAGACCTGCAGAGGGAGGAGGATTAGACTGAGTGGAGAAGACTAGGCATTGGTATTGGGTGCTGACAGGGAGTTGGACTTGAGACAGATTCAGTGGGTTGGGTGAAGTAGATGAGGAGAGATAGATTTGATAAAGGACTTGAGTGCAGGAGGAGCAGTGGGGCTAGCTAGGTTAAGAACCTGGAATGAGGGCAAGGGATATGGATTTAATTAAGGTTGGGGTGGGAGATTTGGGATTAGGATGAGAATGGAGACTGAAGAAGCAAGAAGAATCAGGCTGAGATTGGATTCTGTGGGGCAGAGAGTGTTCAGTTTTGGGGAGAAAGGGCAGAAATGTGACGTCATGGGGGTGTGGGGGAGGGAGGTCTGCTATAGACCACCAGACCAGGAGGAAATGGTAGATGAGGCTTTCTTCAAACAGCTAGCGGAAGTTTCCCAATCACAGGCTGTGGTTCTCATAGGGGACTTCAGTCACCCTGACATCTGCTGGGATGGCAATACAGCGGTGCACAGGCAATCCAGGAAGTTTTTGGAGAGTTTTTGGAGACAACTTTCTGGTACAAGTGCTGGAGCCGCCAGCTGGAGGCTGTACTCTTCATGACTTGCTGCTCAGAAGCAGGGAGAAATTGGTGGGGAATGTACTAGTAGAGGGCAACTTGAGCAGCAGTAACCACGAGATAATTGAGCTCAAGATCCTGAGGAAGGGAAGGATGGAGAGCAGCACAATAAGGACCCTGGACTTCAGAAAAGCAGACTTTTACTCACTCAGGGAACTCGTGGGCAGGAGAGCTGGCTGTACTTGGACAAAGCCTTGCTGAAAGTGCAGAAACAAACCATCCTGATGTGCAGGAAGACTAGAAAGTATGGCAGAAGACCATCTTGGCTTATCAAAGAATTCTTCAGTAAACTAAATCACAAAAAGGAAGCTTATAAGAAGTGGAAACTTGGATAGACAATTAGGGAGGAGTACAAGAGTATTGCTCGGGCATGCAGGGATCAAGTCAGGAAGGCCAAAGTGCAACTGGAGTCACAGTTAGCAAGGGATGTGAAGGGTAACAAAAAAGGCTTCGACAAGTATGTCAGTAACAAGGAAGATCAGAGAAAGTGTGGGTCCCTTACTGGATGGGGGAAGCGACCTAGAGACACAGGATGTAGAAAAGGCTGAAGTACTCAGTGCCTTTTTCACCTGAGTCTTCACAGACAAGGTCAGCTCCCAGACAGCACAGTTTGGGGAGGAGGTGAGAAGCCAACAGTGGCGAAAGAACAGGTTAGGGAGTATTTAGAAAAGCTGGACATACACAAGTCCATGGCACTGGATGGGATGCACCTGGGGGTGCTGAGGGAGTTGGCTGATGTGATTGCAGAGCCGCTGGCCATCATCGTTGAAAACTCATGGTGATCAGGAGAGGTCCTGGATGATTGGAAAAGGGTAAACATAGTGCCCATATTTAAGAAAGGGGAAAAAGGAAGATCCAGGGGACTACAGACCAGTCTGCCTCACCCCAGTCTTTGGAAAAATCATGGAGCAGGTCCTCAAAGAATCCATTTCTAAGTACTTTGAGAAGTTAATTAGGAAAAATCAGCATGGATTCACCAAGGGCAAGTCGTGCCTGACCAACCTGATTGCCCTTCTCTGATGAGATGACTGACTCTATGGATGTGGGGAGACCAATGGATGTGATATACCTTGATTTTAGCAAGGCTTTTGATATCGTCTCCCACAACATTCTCGTAGGCAAGCTAAGGAAGTACTGGCTGTATGAATGGACTGTGTAGGGGCTAGAAAACTGGCTAGAGCAGCAGGGTCAGAGGGTA